GTGTTTCTACTTCCTTTAATAAAGTTCCCTGCAATTGTGCCAGGCAATCTGGTCTTTTGATCTCATTCTTTATTTTGGAAATTTAAGTTATTTTTAAAGTATCTCGTTAATTGAGGAAAAAAAGTATAAGTGGAATATATTCGGCAAGCAAAATTAGTAGAACTATTGCGGGCAAGGGGTTACCGTATTGTGGATTGTGTGGTGGATCGAATTAACGATAGCAAACTTGATATTAGTAGTTGATGTCGCATGCTGTGTTTACAAAGGTTTATATCTCTGCCTTTACTCGGATTCATTTGTTTCTGTAATTTTCTCGGGATTGGAACGCGACGAAATGCTAAAAATTAACTTATTGATTAAATATCATTCTGAATTTGTTTAAAAGTCCGGGAAGATTTTCAGACAGTAAGGTAGGGGGGTGTTCAATGTTAAACAGGAACTCTTCATGGTTAAATTATTTCAGGTTCTACATTGTTTTTTGTTTATTTCAGACTAATAAAACAAGAATTTTTTCTTCTTCATCAGTGTGAGGAGTTTCTTATTCAGTTTCAAAAAAAAAAAGCAAAGAAGAAAAAAAGAAGAAAAAAAAGAAAAAATAAGAAGAAAAAAATAAAAAAAAAGAAAGAATAATAAATTTTTGTTTTGTCATCCTCCTGCAACGCAAAGGTAACTTGCAGAGTTTTTAGTCAGCAGGACCAAATGTAAGGTGCTTGGTTTTTATCTCATTATCTGCTTAGCTTTATGCATCATAGAGTTTGGCATTGAGGAGCAATGCAAAATTTAGGTGTGGGGTGTAGAATTAGTTGATTTGTTCTCTTATTTAATTTTTAGTAAGCATTTTGTTTTTATTGCCCTTTTAAAAAAAATTTTTAAAAGTCGTCACTTGGCAATTGATAGAGTATGTAATAATGAATTTATTTGATAAATTTAAAATTTCGTGAATCCCTGAGTTTGGTTATTTACTTAAGATTCACTTTTATGAAAACTCTAAATAAATTTTCTAAGAAAATGAATTTTCAAAGTAGTATGCTTTACTTAAGCTTACTGGACTTATGTATTTAAAATAATGAAATTTTTGCGATGCATATAACTTAAAGTTGAAAATCAATTTTCAAATGTTTGATTTACATATTTTTTCAAAATTTATACACATATACAACAAAAAATAAATAAATTTCGAAAGAAGAGTGCGAAAAATGGGCACCAAAAAGAAAGAAAAAAAACTCTGTGAAATTTAAGGTGATTCTATTTAATAAGGCCTAAGTTACGAGGCCAATTAAGGCCAAGGAGTATTTCCATACTTTAATGACCTAAGCCCATTTGGGTTGGGATCCATGGTCCCAAAACTCGTTAAATGGTCACTTAGAAGCCGTAAAGTAGAAAAAAATCACCAAGGAAGAAAGAGTTATAAAAAAAATAATTAAGAAAAAATGCTAATAAATGTTTTAGTAGTTGTAATATAGGTCTTTGGACAAATATTTTAAATCACAACTTGAAAAATTATTTAAAACAAGAGTTGTGCATGTTCTTTTCAAACAGCTTTTAAATTAAATTTTCTAAGTTGGGCTTGGTTTTGATTGCGCTAGCAGAGTGAGAAGAGATTTTTAACAATATACCGTTAGAGTTATATATAAAATATTTTCTTGAGATGAGTAACTGGCTCCAATTAGATTATCTAAAAGTTATCAAGTGAATTTAGTTATTTACGTGATTTCTTTAATTTGCAAGTTGACCGCAATTTTGTGGGTATATTCACTGCAAACCCTCACGAGACTACAACTCGTCCACTAGGTAACCTAGGGGTTTAAAGGCTTGTTGTATGCGCTAAATACAACCGGGATTCCTGCGAAAGTGAGTTAAGATTTTCTTTTTTTATTTCTTTTGCTAGAGGACTAGCAAAAGTTTAGGTGTGGGGTATTTTGATAATCACATTTTATTACAGTTTTATACCCTCATTATCTATTTTATATGAATAATAATACCACTAATAATTGCTTTTTATTTTTAATTAGCAGGTTAAGGAAGAATAAATCCAAAAATCCCATCTCTCAACAAAGCCTTGAGTAATAAAGAAATAAGAAAATCGAAATAATTGAATTGGAATGGACTTGAATGCAAAGAGTGAAATGAATTGGGCTTTTATGCAAAAGATTACGAAATGGAGATCACATGAGCTAAGAATTTAATCAAATTTTGGAGTTGGGAATCATGTGGACGTTGTGCTGCTGCTCTTATCTTCATTTGGGCCGAAAATGAATTAGTGGGCCGAGACTTGCTTGGAATTGGGAAT